TGAGGGTGTCGTGACTCCTTTCTTTTCTGGAGAGCCAAGGGAACCCGAAGGAATAAAGCTACGCGTTTTGGATGTTCCAGCATTTCCCAAGAGGGATTGCAAGTTGCAACCGCACACATGGACGTAGATGAGTTGGCAGTGGTGGCATCGCGTTTTGGGCGTCTCTGTGTGCGCGTGTGTGTGTGTGTGTGTGTGTGTGTGTGTGTGTGTGTGTGTGTGTGTGTGTGTGTGCGTGTGTGTGGGGTGCAGTTTGTTCAGTGATCCCTGTTGCAGTGGCGAGGTTTGTTCTGTTTGTTGCTGGTAGTGAGGGGCTCATGTGGTTATGGGTCAAGACCAATGGTACCATTTTGGGGTAGGTGCACCAGCCATCTTAGAACCTATTTTGGTGGTTGGATTCGGATGTTCACTCGGGGTAGGATTTGGATTTTGACCCATGGCCATGTAACATGCTGGGCTTACAGCGCTGTCAATGAAACCAATGCCCAGCCACACAGCCTCTTGGAGCTCAGAGACGTAGCCAATGCCAACGTAAGCCACTTACTTGTTAAAAGGCCAAACATCCCGGGGTCAGACCCTGGCTCGCCCGAGTCTGAGATTGCCCAGTGATTTGCTCTGTTCGGCAGATAGCACTCTGATGCCAGTGTCAGGGGGAGCTCTTGCATTCACAACAACATGGACCAAATGTTACTGTCCTTCTCACATAAGCGTACACAAAATCATATGATCATGTCATTGTACCATCATCGTCATTGTCACCATCATTGGTATCGTGTCATCGTCCTCGTCCTCGTGATCGTCATCGTCATCGTCATCGTCATCATCGTCATCGTCATCGTCATCGTCATCCTCGTCATCATCGTCATCGGATCATTGTCATCATCATCGTCATCATCCTCATCCTCATCATGATCGTCATCATCATCGTCCTCCTCGTCGTCATCATCATTATCATCATCAGTATCATCATCATCGTCATCGTCATCGTCATCGTCATCGGCATCATCATTGTCATGATCATCGTCATCGGCATCATCATTGTCATGATCATCGTCATCGGCATCATCATTGTCATGATCATCGCCATCGCCATCATCATCGTCATCGTCATCATCATCATCTTCATCATCATCATCGTCGTTTCGTCGCTGTCATCGTCATGATTATAGTCATCATCATCATCATCATCATCGTCGTCGTCATCATCATCATCATCATCATCATCATCATCATCATCATCATCATCATCATCCGCCGTCGACGTCATCGTCGGCGTCAGCATTTGCTTGTCGTCGTTGTTTGTTGCCTGTTTGTTCCTCCAGCAATTGTGATTGTGAGCTTTTTCAGGGTGAGTTGTGGTTATAATTTAGATACACCTTGGGTTTTTGAGGCAACCGTTCACTGATGGGTTGTAAATTGGCGGTCGCGACTCTTTGCCAAAGGGTATCACCACACATACACACACACACACCACACTAAATTACCAGTCCCCGGTTGGTTCTGGCACAATTGTGGGCCCATCAGTATGTTCTGAAATCGGCCGGGGATGCTGAATCAACGTAACCTTTTTCTTCTATTGCAACTTTTAAGTGTTCTCAGTGCCTCCAAGCACTATTTGTGGAAGCATCCACATGTGTTGAACTTAGGGTTGGGCACATGGCGGCTGTTACCTTCCTAGCAATCGCCCCGTCGGAGATGCAATTCGGCGCTGAGGCAAAAGGTAAGACACCACAGCCCAGCGGCCCAGCGGAAGCGGGTGGCTGAAGGTTGAGGATGGAAAGGCGTCCAGCCTTACCCTCCAGGTAAGCCAGAGGTAACCCAGCCAGGTCCCCCAGTCGCGCCCTTTTAGCCTTTCGGTGGGGAGGGGTTCCCCGTGTCTAAAATAGACCACAGAAAAGAACCTCGGGTACCAACTTATTCTAAGCTCTCAAATCTGGAGGACCCAGCCAGGGAAACCAAAAACTCCAAGACCCAGGGAAACCAAAGCCCTGGTTCTTAACCCTTTGGAAAACCAGGTAAGAAGCGCGAAGGGGAATCGACCTACGGCGCGCGTTTCGCGAGACGCGACACGGGCGAAGCGACCAGCGCCGCCGGATTCGCCGCTTTTGGCTCCGAGGCTCCTGCACAGCCCTGTAGGAACAGCGAGATGGGTACTTCCATTTGCTGAAACGAGTATTTTGATTTTCTTTTTCCCCTGGTTTTGAAGGGAATCTATGACTACTTTAAGGCAAAAACAAAATCCAGGGGTGGAAGGGTATCCCATCTACTGGGCAACCTGAAAAGGGTACCTTTGGCCTCAGCCAGAAAACCCCAGAAAAGGGTGTGAGTCAAGTTTTTGGTACCCAGAATGGGTTGCCCTGTCAAATGGAAACAAATACTAAAACCTGCGCTGTTTCTTCTTTTTTTTTCTTCTCTTTTTTCCCCCCCTTTTTTTCTTCTGGTGATTTGATTTTGACCCACACCCATTTTGAGACACACCCATTTCCAGTTTGTGAATACCAAGTCGCCCATGAGCCTATCGCCTTTTCGGCAGATTTTATGTGCCATCGGCACCCAGAGAGGTGCCCGCAGGGCTGGGTTCTGCAATTGGGTACCTTTCGTTTGGGGCTGTTTTTTGTTTTGTTTTTTGGGGGGAAACCACCGGGAGAACCACCAGTGTGGAAAGAGGGGCCCTGAGAAAGGACTCTTGGACGCTTGGCCAACCAGCTGCCCCGTTTCGCGCATCCTGGCGTCGCGAGCGAGCCCCCATGTGCCATGCAGTTGCACGAGCCCCATGTTCCTGCACCGGCCTCTTGGCAGAACGGTCGCAAGGTAAGAAGAAACGCTGTCACGCAAGTTTCCCTTACAACACAATCCAAAAGGACTGCGCCAACGACATGAGCATCTGGGGGTGTCACGTTGTCTGCAGGGGAGTATCTTATTGAGTTTTGCGCTGGCCACACATGGGTGTTCACTCCCCTTGCCCTTGTTGGACGGACCCCGACCCCAGAAAACAACTTTGTGAAAAGGGAGAATGAAAGGACCCCCCGTCTAAGCTTTGGCGGAAGCGCCGGAAGCCCCGAGCGCCTTTTCGGCTGAATCGCCCGCCGTTTCGCCGAGGATGTGGAGCCGCCGGTGCTGCTGCACCATGAGGTCGAGGGAAAGGCGACTCGCGCGGCAGCACATGGTTTGGGGTTGACCCAAGTAGATTGGGTGGTGAATCCGATGGTTGGTCCTTTGTTGGTGAATCCTTAGGTGGATCCTTGGTTGGTGGATGGATCCTTAGTTGGTGGAGCGTTCGATGGTATGAATTCGAATGTTGGTGTTGTCAAGCACAAGGATGGGGTAACCCAAATCAAAGGGGACCAGCTGGGACCATTTTGGGAGCTTCTCCAAGTGCTGGGAATTCCAAGATGTTTGGCTATGACACATGGAACACTCTGGGAATCACTCCAGCCCAGAACCTGGTGGTGATTTTTACGGACTCCAGGTGGTTTCTCGAACTATTGAAAGTCATTTGCCTAGGGTCCCATCCTTTCAGGTGAATCAGCCTTTTCATGGTTGTTGTTGGGAAACATTAGACACAATTTTGCTTATTGAGGTTTGGTGGTCGAGGTCCAACCACTTATCTGCCAAAATTTGAGAATTGTTGCTCCCCTTCCAACGCCAACCAAGTTTTGAGGGACAGCTATTATTGGATCGTGGCTGGCTTTTGTTGGCGTGCCACGCGACCAAGCTCCGCGCAAGCTGAGGCAGTTAGGCTCTGTGTTTGAAGCCTCATTCGTGTTTGTTTGCGTTTGTGTTTGTTTCTGAGGAACGGACACCCCACTCATTTCGAGGTCACCCAATTTGACAAATACCCCAAGACTGGCCTATCCTGAAACGAACGGGGCTGCTGAAAGGGTTGCATGTTTCCGGGCTCCGGAGTTTAGTTGTTTTCACCCCCACACCATTTTTTTTGAAAGCAAATGCTTTCGGGCGGTTTCCGACTTGGGTCTTACCATTCAAAAGGATCGGCTTCCTTTGGTGTTCCTTTGACCTCACGAAACTTTTCTCGGACATGTTCAAGCGGTTTATGGTTTCCCCCCGAAAAGTTCATGAACTGTGGACTTTTGGGTTTGCACCATTCTGGCGGTACACGAAAAGTTAAAGACCCTTTCTGGCCAATCAGCTCAAGAAGTGGGTTTCAGTTCCTTTGGGCTGTTCCTTCGACCCGAATGGTGTCTTCCTTGAAGCTGCCGGCCAAGCTCTGGGATCGATTCGATAGGCGCGGAAGCAACACGTGATCCGCGTGGCAAAGGTGCGACCGGTACGGACCCCAGCAGAGGTGGGGCAGACTTGCAAAGCTTGTATACTTGTCAAGTTTGTTTCCCCGCTGGATAGCCAGAAACATATGCGGCAACATATGTGGCGTGCATGCTCCATGTTGCATTGCGCGGATCAGAGTGGAAGTTGTTTGGGTCCGGCACAGTGTTATGTTTCTTGCTTGGTCCCGTTCCAGCTTCAGGGGAAGGGAATTGGTTGGTGGAAGGGCTCGAGAGTAACACTTTCAGCCAAGTCAGTGACATTTGTTGAGGAACCCCGTCAAAAGTGGTTGCTGGACGTAACTCCCCACCTAAATGATGTGCACTGAATGGTCCATGTCCTACTATATATTTTCAGCACATTTCGAGTATGTCAGATGCCAATCAGGCACCCTGCGAGACACTTTGCGAGGTGTGGGGTGAGTGACTCCCTGGATTGGTTGGTACCCTCGTCCAACATGGCGCCGATCTAGGTACCCTCTGGTGCTCATACAAGAGGCAAATCATTACACGCAGTTTACCGGTGTGTTTTGGTTTCCCTTTGCACAGAAGGCAAGGGCCCCAATTGCCTTTCCAACAATTTTCCGGAAACCATGGAGGCCTGGGGTCCCCCCCCCCACTCATTTTTTCACATCCTGGGGAGCACATCATATTCTCTTCGCATGCTCACCATGTGCGCAACCGCCTGTTGCTCACGGCTTTCGCCGCCGAAACCGCACGAGTGGCTCGCTCTTTACACAGGGCGGGGACGAAACGAACCTCGCGGTAAACCGAAACCGCGGTAGACGGCGCCATGGAACCTGGAGAGTACGAGGCAGGTTGGTGTTCTCTTGACTGCTATTGGGTTGGATCTTTAGACTTTAAGTTTTTGGTTGAAATCAATCAACAGTTTTCCGGTAAATCTTTAGACTTTTTGGGAAACCTTTAGACTTTTTGGGCGTTTTCCACTAAACCCTCCAAAAGTTAAAAACTGTTTGCAGGGGGGGTCCTTGCAGCAACCAAGTTCTTAGTGGCTGATCGTAGGAAGGTTGTATTTCGGAATCCGAAAGGAATCAATGGGAGTGGCGGATCGTAGAATTCGGGGACACCAACGAGAAAAACCAACCATCTTGGCTGCGAGTCAAAACCAATGCGATCCCATTTTGGGGTAGGTGAATTCACCACCCATTTTAGAACCTAGTCTAGTGGTTGGATTCGGATGTTCACTCGGGGTAGGATTTGGATTTTGACCCGATTTTGACCCATGTTTATGTGTTTGTTCTTTTGGGAGGGTTGGAGATGGAAGGTCCCTGTTTGGTTTGGTGTGTTTTTGTCAAGGGACGTTCAAGGGAAGCCCTGAGTCGCATAAGAAGTTTTGACTGCACAGATCAAAAAGGCAGCGGAGCAGACAACCAGAATGAGCCGCTGGCACATGATCTCCGCTCTGACTCCTGGAGCCTTGCTGCCCCGACATCGAAGAGTGAACAATGGTGGACGTGCTCGGTTTTAGGATCCATTTCTGCACCAAGAACAAAAACCCACCACCACTTTGGCTCGCAGAAACGGCGTTTTTCTTTGTGTCTGCACCGCCCTGGATCGCCAGTTGCGATCGCTTTTGTTCCATCCACTTTACCCCAAAAACCAGCGACAGCGACCGCAACTTGGCTATCTAGGGCCGTTTCCTTCAATTGGGTCAACCATTTTAATACCGGGTTTGACCCGTGGCTCACTTTGGCTCGCAGAAACGGCTTTTTTTTCCTCCACCGCCGGTTTCGTTGGAATTTTCTTCGCCTCGCAGTCGCGAGGCCCTCGTGGCGAGGGCCAACAGCGGCGGCGCCATGGAACTGCTGCAGTTCATGCGGACGCACAAGATCCACCAGCCGGAGCTGGTGCTGCTGCACGGCTCGCGGCTAGCTCCTTGGCAAGAGGATTTCGGTGCTCTCAGGAGGTGTGTTTGTTCGGATTTCGGGGGGCGGGTGGTTAAAAGAGAGACTTGGATACGATTCCTGGGCTGGCTTTCAAGGGGAGGGAAGCGTTGGGAAATTTTGCGGGAGGCGAGCGGTTAAACGACGGGAGGCGGGTGGTTAAAAGAGAGACGAGCAAGCGCTTGTGAAATTCTAAACAGGTCTCAACAGTGTCTGTCGTTTCTTTTCGTGTTTTGACACGACAGTAGTGAGGAGTTGCAAGGGACGCGTGGGTTGGGGTGGCTGCAGGATCCGATTTCCCTCCCTTCTCCAAAATAAGGCCTGCAAGTTGTCAAGGCTTTATTTGGAGGCGGATGGCAACATTTCGGGGTTGGATCCTGAAAGTTGGCCAAACCAGCCTTGGTTTCGAAAGACAAGGATGGGTGAAGAGAATGGCAACCAAAGCCAAGGTGGGTATGGGTCAAGATTAAGCCACTGGGGGACAGCAGGTTTTGGTCCATGTCTCCACTTACCGATCGGGCAACCCATTTTGGGGTTACCCGATTTTTGACAGCCACAGCCAGGTCTCGATTTGACCTCTGCAAGCCTCACATGGACTGCACATTCAGCACTGGCCGTTGGCTGCGGATCGATGTGCTCAGATCCAGTGACATTTTTTTTGAAGTCTCCCGATGTCTCGGAGGATCCAACGAGAGAACGCTGCGACCTTTGGCCCCCTCAAGGGGCGTTTGCCCGTTCCTTAGTTTTTTTTTGGGGGGGAGGGATGCCTGTTTTGGGGAGCAAACACATGTTCACACCATGGAGACCACCCATCAAGCTTTGGGCCAGGATGTTTTCCCTTCGGGCTGACCCCTCTCCGGTTTTGCGAATGAGTTCAGCACCCCGAGTCAAAGATAATTTTTAAGTTTTTTAGTTGGTATAGTGGTTTCCGAGTTTAACCCACAAGTTCGTCACTTCACATGGACAGCCCAGGGCTACACCTCAACCCCCCCCCCCCCCGCGGCATCCCCCGTTTTCGGGCACATCCCCGCCCCCCCGCCCCCACCCAACCCGCAACCACCCACGCGAGTCGCTCTCGCGAGTCGCGTCAGTCGCGTCTCAGCGAGGTGAAGAGCCGCGGCCTGGGGAACGAGCTGTGGACGGTGTTGGAGCAGGTCTCTTGGTTTGCCTCTACCGCTGTTTGGGGTAAAAATAGGCAGGCCCCCTGGTCCCAGTTGCCGTAGATTGCTCCCTTTTTGCCACTTTTGGGAAGGGTTGCCCTTTAAAGTCAACCAACCCAAGAAAAAGATGCCTTTTTTCCATGGCGGCACTGGCATCTGAGTGGTCGAACCCTTTTCAAGGGAGGCGGATTTCATTTCGCTGGAAAAGGCACTGGGGCAGGTCTTCCTGGCCGCTGCGGAGCTGGGCTGCGACCAGTGGCGGGACTACTGCCTCAAGGCCGGCTGGAAGCGCTTTGGCGAGTCCGAGCGCAGGGGGGTGGGGGGGGTGGGGGGGGTGGGTTGGGTCGGTGGGTGGGGTGGGTGGGTGTGCCTATGGGTGAAGCGGGCGCTGCTGAGAAATGACCTGGTTCGAGAGGCAGGGAACGAGGAAATGACCATGGGGCAAAACCCATGGCTCCATTTGGGGTGGATGAACATCCAGTTGCCACCTATTTTGAGGTTCACCAGGTGTACAGGGTTTTGACCCACAGCCAAATGACCTCTATAAATCTATCAAGCACAGGGGGTCTTATTGCCACCTTTTGTCAGAAAATTGGCGACCCCTCAAAGAGGAATCCTTGACTAGCGGGGGGTCGATCATTTTTCCACCAAAGGTGGCAAAAAGACCCCCCTGATCAAGCATCCCCCGATTTCGGTTTCCTTCGTTCGGGAATCCCCAATCGGTTCATTCCCACCCCCCTGGTCATTCCTTGCCGAGCAGCAAGTCAAGGGCCTTCCAGAATGCCAGTGGCAAGCGACCAACAAAAGACTTGCGGGGTCCTTTTGTTTTTTTTTTTGGGGGGGAGCCGGGAGTGCTGGGGATTCGGATGGCTTTCCGACCTAACACAAGGACAACCTTGCAATCGCAAGGTTTGCTATTTGATGGGATCCTTAGGTTCTAGCTGTTTAGGGGGGAACAAACCATGGGTATCTGTCCTGCTAACCAACAAGCACGTTGTTAGCTTGTTAGCTTGTTAGCTTGTTGGCTGTGGGGATTCGGACCCCCAACATGGCTGAGAGTACGCAAAATCTGGGACGTCGTGTCCTCCTTGAGGTCGTGGACTTAATTCTTGGGTCTGGACATGTTGTTTTTCATGACTTGTTCGGGTCCACAGTATGGATGGACTTTGACGCCTGCACCACATTTGAAACCATAGGAACCCATAACGTTTGTTGGAATTTGCAGGGAAATCGAACCATTCCAGGGTTTGTTCGGGTGGTGCGAAATGGATTTCGTCCATCCACCGTATGTTTGTTGTGGCTTTAAAGGACATCCATCATTTTGGGGGTCCCGTACACGACGCACCCTTTTAGTGGCGAACAGCAAGCTTGGACTTGTGTTGGACATTCCACTCGATGGGAAGTGGGGCCAGTTGAAGCATACCATTCCTTTGGTGCATGGACGTGCGAGTTAACGACAGGTTCCACAAGTCGAGGTGGGGGGGGGAGGGGGGGAGGCGAAGAAGGTTCCTATGACTGAAAGACTTTACTTTGGCGGTGCATGAAAGGAACCTGTACAAGTTCAAGTAAACAACTTGCTCAGCTTGGAACGTTTGGAATGGGTTCCTTTCAAATTTCACTAAATCAAAAAACAAACAATGAATCCAGGAGAAACAGGGGACACCCTTTTGTTGGCTGGTGGATTTGAACCTCTGAAAAAAGAGCCTGGAATGGGAGGAGTTGGATGTCTCGAAATGGATCTTCTGTTGGCTTCCTTTGAAGCCCAACCAGACAACCGCATCCTATGTTCAGAAAAACCTACTGGCCCGACTTCACCTCCCCCCCTACCTCCCCCCTCCCACCTCCCCCCCCTACCTCCACCCCTTCCCCCTGTCCCCTGCACCAGACGTCCGCTCAGCTGCAAGTGTCCCTCCCCCCCGGCGTCAGGAGCTCACCACCAAGTTCCCCTCCTCCCTGCGGGTGGAGCGGCTGAAAGGCATTGAGAAGGAGAGCTTAGGCGCGGGGTCGGTCTCGGGGCTACGCACCATTTTTCAATAAGCCGGGCTCATTAAAAGATCGATACACATTTTGCGACCAGTTGAAACATGTGTTTTTTTTTGGACACCAAAACAAAGGGAAGCAGATAAAAGATACAAATTTTGCCACCAGTTGAACCATGTTGTTTTTTCTGCACCAAAATGCAGGGATCCACCTTTGACAAGTTGCAATGTTCAGGTGTATAATGCATCCGGATCCCTGAGAAGTTTGACCTCACTTCCTGAGTTCCTCGACTTGAGAAGGTATACGTTTTGGTGGCGCACAGCAAGTTGTTGATTTCTTGGCCAGTGCACGGAAGGGCCGTGAATCCCCAGCTGTATGGTGTCCATCAGAGGTCCATGACAATTCATGCCCACATGAGAGATGGCCCGAGTCCATGCTTTTGCGTGAAACCCCACCATTTCGTGGGTTTCCAGATTTTGCCCGAGTCCAGTGGGTGGCTGCTTCTGGGGTCCAATCCAATGACCAAGACGCTGAGCTATGGGGTCCCCTTGTGAGGCGAGTGGAAGGAGGCCGAGAAGTTGTACCAGAAGATCTTAGCGACCAAGCCGGAGGAGTGGGATCCGGGCCGGACCCCAAGCGGCAAAAGGCAGGCGCCTCTGTTGGATGCAGAAGGTCTTTTTGCGGGTGGGTTTAAAGGGCAGCCAACAGCAGGTCACGGGATTTCCGGACCTTTGAGCCAAGCTTGCAAGGGATGCCCAGATGGCACGGTAAGCCAGACATGCGAGGCAAAGTGTGGCGTTGAGTGATGGCAATGGTACACGTCTCAAACAAACGTACCCACGACTAATTTGTACGACTAGGCCCTCGCGTCCAAAGCTCCCCCGCAAAAGTGGCCGTCCTTTTGGTTTCTTTTGAAGTCCACCGGAGCAGGGTGCCGAGCCTCAACAAAAGCACAGACCCAGGTTGGCCAATTTCAAGAGCGAACCACCAAACTCAAGTGGGGTTGCCTGAATGCCCGCCGCATTTTGATGCCCAACAAAAGGGCCCTTACCAAAAGTAATACCCTCACTCTCACTAGCTTGGCACCTGACGGAGGGTCCCTACTACAGTAGAGGAAAATGATCTTCCAGATATCCTCCCACAGGTGCCTTCGGTTCGTGGAAGGGAGGGTGCCTCACTGTGGACATGAGACTTCGGGTGAGGACACGCTGACCCACAAGCGCCTCATCGCGATGCACAAGCAGAGCGGCAAAGTCCCAGAGGCGATTGAGGCGATCAACACGCGCCTCGGTTTTGGACGATCGCTGACTCGCGATCTGTGCAGGTGGCTCTCCGGGTTTTCATGCGTTCCTCGGGTGAAGCGATCAACACCAATTCGGGTAGACGAAAGTTAGTAAGGGACACTCCCCTTGCCATAAATGGATGCGGAGATCCGCCTTCTTCATTCTTGACATGGTTCTGGGATTACGACCATGTCAATACCGGGTTTTGATTATGACTCATCTGTGCCTGTGCTCTCCGGGTTTTCATGCGTCCCTCAAAGGGTTGCATACACATCCACGTTTGGCAAGTCCTTTCAAGACTCTATTGGACGAATGTATGGTGCTCCTGGCAAACTGATCCGACCCCCCAACCACCCTCGATTTTCTAAAGCATTACACCGATCCAAGCTTCAGCATCTGCGGTTTTCGGCAGGTGCTCCCGACCAGCCGTGCCGACCCCTCAACCCCTTTCATCACGTTTTTTTGACTGACTGTGGGCCACGTCACTTGGTGGCTCCCAGCCATCCGGTTCCTTAAAAGTTAAACTTTTAGCGGGGGATCTGAAATCGGGCAGCCCAGGTCAGAAGCTGGCGGTGGTTTTCCTTTGTCCTACTGAACGGGGGATAACTTGCGGCCGTGGTAAAGACAAATGGTGGGGGCTGGTGCTCAGTAGGGAATGAACCGAAAGGGGATTCCCTTGAAGGAAGCCACAGAGGATGGTTTTGTGGGGCATTCCATTTCTCATTCCTTGCATCTCTCGCACCAAGCAAAGCCAGCATCTCTATGTTTTCTTCCTTTTTCAGCTACCTACTTTGATATGTGGTTTTTCCCAAACCAGGACTTTTTTGGCAGGTACCTACTTTGATAGTAATAGATTTGTTTTTTTCTTTGGAGGGGGGAGCCGTTTTTTTTTTTTTGGGGGGGGTACCTACTTTGATAGTGGTATAAAAACCGCATATATGTATATATATATATATATAATATTGTTTTTTTTTTTGGCGGGGGGGAGGAAGCCCAAAAAACGGGGCGTTTTTTCTTCTTCTTTCTTTCTCCCAGGTACCTGGACAGCTTCACCACGGACTCGGAGGTGTGGCACGAGCTGGGGGAGCTCTACATCGAGCAGGGCACGCTGCAGAGGGCCGCCTTCTGCTTCGAGGAGCTCATCGTGCAGAACCCCCGCGCCTCGCTCGCCCGGGTTGAGCCGGGAAGCGGCTGGCGGGGCGGAAGCCGCCCAGGGCCGCGGTTTTCCGTTGTTTTGTTTGTTTTCGTTGTTTTGTTTTTTCGTTTTTTTTTTTTTTTTTTTTTTTTTTTTTTTGGTTGTTTTTTTTTGTTTTTTTTTTTTTTTTGTTTTTGTTTTTTTTTTCCTATTTCGACTTGGCTCCCGGCCATCCGGTCCCTGAGCTGGTTTGCCTGTTTAGCTGGTTTAGTGGGGATTTCCGAAAAAAGAAACAAACACCCACTAAAAGAGAAAGGAAACATAGCGGGGGATCTGAGGACAGCCCAGTTTAGTCGATGGTTCAACTGTCTCTTTTCAAGGTTTTTATTAGACATATGCACATACATACGCAATATACACACATACACATAAAAGGCCTTACTACAGCCTTCATAGCCATCTTAGAACCAAAGTCAATGCAAGTGCGCGCTCGTGTGTACGGACCGAGTCAGAAGTTCAGTGGCTTCCACTTGGTGGACATGGCTCCCTTTTTCCAACGCTGAACAAGTGTCCCTCGTGTCCCTCGTGGCTCAGGACACGAGGGGGTTCTCAACTGTGCGATGCATTTTGTTGTGAACAAAGCCACCCGTCTACTCGGGTAACCCTTCGGTGGTTTAGATCCCGGTTCGGATTTGAGTTCCCCAGTTCCCTGGAGCAGGGTAGCCCCTTTCTGGTCACGGGGCTCCAAGCTGACTGGGGGCAAGGTGAAGGTGTGCAGAGGTGTGTGTGAAAAAACAAGAACCACCTGCAACCAGGGAGCAGGGCAGTTGTATCTTAGAGAGCTTACTGGCAGTTATACCACATACAAAAGGGAAAACATCACATAACATGAGGTCCGTTTAAGAATACTACTACCATTGAACTTGGCAGTTATACCCTCCCACAGTGAAACTGGGCAAGTATGTCTTGGACATATTTAAACATTGCTATATCCCAGTACATAGAAGGGCGTGGGGGTAGCAGGGCTCCCTATTTTTCCCTTGAAACAAACCAGGAACCGCCCCTTTCGCTTGGAAGCCGCCCTTTCGCTCGGAAGTGATGCCTCAGATTGCGACCCAGTTCTTCCAGGGAACCCGCCATTTCGCAGGGGAAACCATCATAGTGTACGCATCATAACTTGTCTACTAGTCAGGCCTGGATACGAATGCAGACATGATACGAGGAATAGCTTGGAAGTGAACGACAAGTCATTTTATGTTTAATCTATAGTCTCAATATCGCTATAGTTATATTTGTTTTTGTTATACAACTACTTCACTTTCTAAATTATCTTCTCAATATTATTTGTTTATCGGATTTGTATTTTGCATTGCTGAAATATATTTAGTTCTAGTTTGTATTGTTAGGAAAGATGGCCTGTGTTTCATTGATTTTGTCTTGTTCATGTTTTTTTGGATTCTCCTATTGTTGATTGCTCCCTTCATTACTGCATTAGCAGTTGGCATCATATTTTGCTTTGTTTATGTCTATTCTTTTATCTATTTTCCATTTTTGAGGAAAACCAGGAAACAACTGGTAAGCTCCCGTAATGGCTAGGAGCCCCAGGATTGTGGGGTCTAGGCAATTGTCGTGGAATTGGTCGATGCTCTTGTAGAACAACTGGATTCTACTCGTATCCCAGAAGATGTAAATAACTTCCGTTTGCTTAAGAATGCTTTTATTTTCCCTTGTTGGCTTTAAAAGGATTTTTTCAGTACTGGGAATATGTTTATTCTTTGCCAGGGGTCTTAAGCAAATGGAAGATAAGGGTGTGTTTCTTGAGGATACCCCTGTTGAAGTGGCTTTAAGGGAGATCAAAAGGAAACTGAGCATTTTAGGGAGTCTGCACACCCAAATATAAGCTGGAGGTCAGGAGGTCTGTCGAAACCCACATTTGATTGGGAATGGTCCAACCCAAGGTGAAAAACATCTGATATTTTTGAGCCCCCGCTTGCACCCAAAGGGTTTAGTCCGCCTGTCAGATGAATGTGGGGCGCAACTCCCCCAAATCTGGGTTTCCTCTTTCATGGCACATCCCATGAACACTGTTGGGTGCCCATTGCCCTCCCACCAACAATTAGCTATGTACTCTACTGCTATTGGGTTGGATCTTTAGACTTTAACTTTTTGGATTCCCTTCATATTTCCTTTTAACCAGCAAAAAGTTAAACTTTTTGCTGGGGATCTACAGCACCCAAGTGTATGAGTCCGCCAATTAGAGTTCATCCTGTTGTAAAATGGGGGTATAGGTGAATACAAAGCCTAGGTGAAGCGGTCAAAGCCTTCGGCAAATCCTATCTGAGGCTCCATGTACACCATTTTGACCTATGCCGAGCTGCTCTACTCCACCGGCGATCTTGAGAACAGCAGGAGGGTGTCATTTGTATTGGAGTTTCTTCCTTTGTTTAAATGGGCCCCAAACCTTTGAGAGGAACCCGAGAAGTACTTTAGTTGTATTGAGGGCTTTAGAGGGAACACAACTTGACACCAGTTCGAGCAATTTGCGGGCTCCCTTTCTAGCGGGGTTTCCTTATGGGTATGACCATATAACCCCCCCCCCTAACAACTTGCGGACCAAAGGAGTAGCATGATCTAGATTGGGTGAGCCACTCATTTGATGGTGATCAAGTCTATCACAGGGTTCCCTGAACCTGTTGAAAGCGCTCCGATAAACGATTTCCCGTCGCTTGCAAGGGACAATCATGTGCTTTCCACATCCGAATTCGCAACCCAGTTGTGAAAAACAGCTCACCTGCACAAAGAGTTTGAAACAATGTGCGCACTGATTCGAGTTGGTACTCTTTTCAGATTGGTTCGAAAAGGACCAAAAGTAAAACACCATGGGGTCATACCATTTCGAGGGGTACCCTCGAAAAAGAACAAGCCCACGCTGGGGTACATTCGCCCGAATGATCTGGAAGGAAGTACTTCAGCTTGGCTTGCTACGTGGACGGCGCCAACTTGCGGGCCCTCTGGGGCCTCTTCACCTGCAACATGGCCTTGGCGGAGAAAGACAAGTCCAGGGAGAAGTCCAAGCAATTCCAGGCCAGGCAGGTTCACTTCCTGAGTTCATGGACCTGAAACTTTGAGGAAGACCGAAAAAAGTTCGGACTTTTTTGGGCTCAGGAGTGAGCAAAAGGGTTCACCGGAGAGCCGGAGATCCATGATCTTGTTCGGCGACAATTCGGACAAAAAGGTTTGTCTGTAAAACTGGGACACGCCCAAAATGGCAGTTTTCCCTTTGGCTTCCCTTCGCAGCCACCCTAACAAGGGTACCCTGAAGAAAACATGGCACCCCAAAGGGTTGTGGCTGGCTTGGGCTGGGTATGTTCGTTGACGAAATGGCTTGGCATGTACCTGATGAACGGTTCGCAGGTCCAATCCTTGTGGCGTTGGCTCGAAGCCGCGACCCGCGAGCAACGCCGAAAACCCTCGTTCTCAGATATCACGGGTGGTTCGGCTCGATGGTTTTCATGTTGTGCTGGCGATGTGAGCCTGTATTTCCATGGAACCAAAAATCCACGGGTTGCTGTTTGCTGAATCGGCATCAAGCAGCAACAAAGAGCCATGGACAATTGGGTCATGCCCGATCTCGGAGCCCACCTGTTCACCTTCCCATTCTTTTTCTTCCACCTTGAGTCACCCGGGGTTTGAACAATTGGCCTGTGTGCAGATCAACAAACAGGCCAAACCGCAAGAAGGCTTCAGATTCACATGGCACCCAAAGGGGCTGCAAGACCATTTCCCGGTGAGTTCCATGTTTCCCCTTTTGTGAAGTCGACCAATTCAGTTGGTTCAAGCCCCAGTTTCCCCTCCCCTCCCCCCCCCCTCCACGCCCTCCATGCAGTCTTTCCTTTCCCTTCCCCACCAAGCCCTCAGACCTTTCAGAAGTCGACCAGTTCAGTTGGTTCAAACCCCCCCCCATTTTCCCTCCCCTTTCCCCTCCAAGCCCATGCAGTTGGCCCACCAAGCCCTCAGACCGAAAGGGCGGGCGGGCGGGCGCTGAGTGGGTCAGGAGCTGCAGAAGTTCACCATGGAGAAGCTCAGGGCGGCCTACAAGGGGCTTGGTGCCCAGGGCCAGGCGCGAGCTCCGGCGACTCTATCGGTCGAGGGGTTTGGGGCGAGGGCGGGGGCGGAAGGGGCTTGTAGGAACTGCAAGGGAGATGTTTGGGGGGGGGGATGGGGGGGGGAAGTATTTCGTGACTGGAGGGGGAGTATTGGGTTTTTCTTTTTCGGGGCTTCGGTGGAGAGAGGTTGGGGTGATATTGGAGGTAGAGACTGTCGCTATTTGGAGGGGAGATGGAGTGTTTGTTTTTTGGCGGGGGGCTATTTGGGGTACTGTTTTGGTCTGCCCTCCTTTCAGTGAGTGTTCGTGGGGACTCAGCTTTTGGTTGTGTTCCTTTGAGTCTCTGACAGGATACCGGAAGTGCTTCCAAGTACTACGCCAAATCAAAGAAATCCGGAAGTTCCGCGATTGTTTTTGCGCCGCATTCTCCTGCAAACAATGGGGGTCTACTGATTGAGTGTTCGGCCACCTGGTATAGCTACCCACACTTTTTCCCAACTTAAAGCTGCGGTGTTGGTTCCAGTCATTTTTGTGCTGGGTTTTGGTCAAAGAGGCAGCCCACACTTGCCAAACCTGCTGCAGATGTTCCTGCCCTTTGATTGAAAAGCATGCAAAAATGAAGCATTCCCATTGGGCGTCCCCTTTTGCACCACAGGGTAGAGCTAAAGAAGTTGGCCCGACCGCGCTGCCTAGGGTCCAATTCATTGCTGGGTGTCCTTTTCATGGAAAATCCGTGGTTTCAACGGGTGCCTGAAACCGGTGGGCTCCATTCATGTCCATTCCGCTCAAACCAGCACTCCCACAGCGAGTTTGGGGTTTTGGGCTCAAGCCATCATACCCGTGCCATTGACACCTAGACTCTATGTTGCAGCCTTAGAAACCAACGCCCTAAACTCACTTCCTGAGTTCATAAACTTTAAACTTTTTGGGTTTGGACCATTTTAGTGGTAAATATAAAGTTTGGGCTTTTTTGGGCCATCCACTCGGCAAGTGAGTAAATGAAGGAGGTTGCAAAATGAATTCCTAACTGTCCATCATACCCCCCCCCCCCGCCCGCCCCTCATAACCCCCCCCCCCCCTCTCTGGACCCCCGGACCCCCGGAAGGAGCAAGAAAAAAAGCAGCAGCCTGCAAATGGCTCATTTGGCTCCCCAAATGGAGGGAAACACCGGTTGAAAGGGGATGTTCCATGAAAGGCACAGGTGTTTCAACCAAAAGCTGCAACCACCATGCGCAGGCTCTTTTTTGCAATCAGGGCCTGTTGGGGTTTAGGGTTTCAAGTCACAAATAATTCTGTTTAGCCTTGGGAGGGAGGAACCTCGTCCATCCTGAGCATCCCCGCCGAACAGGTAGCCTTGAAACTCCTAGCGGCGGTTCCAACGGTTTCCGCGAGCTGAAGCGCTGAAGTGAGCGAGTTCGACGCAAGAGATCTCCTTTGCGGGAAAATGAGAACAGGGTGCGTCTTTTTAGAGGGGCACCATTTTTTGGTGGGTTTAAAGGCAAACCAGTCCCCTCAAGACGCACAACCCCAAATCTCCTTTGTGTTTTTGGTTTCTTAAGTCTGTGTCTGCGGAAACCCTTGAACCCGGTGGGTTTTTAAAGGGAAACCAAAAGGAGAACCACCGGAGAACCGCCAGTTTTGGTGGGTCCCCCAAAGAAGCAGAAGCCCAAATCTGCTTTGTGCATTTTTTGAGTGGTTTGAAGCGCACACAACAGAATCACTGTGTACGCCGTGGGTTTTGGCTGCTCAAACAATGATCCGGGGGAGTTCATGGGCCCCAACCCCTTCGAGTCAAAGCAGGGTCCCGGTCTTTGCTCATGAGGAGGTCAGAATCGCCTCGACGGCATTGGGTCCACAATCCACCGTCCTTAAAAAGAAGGACTCCTCTGGTTTTACAACAGGCGCACATGATCCCCCAAAGTTAGCCGTATGGCCATCCAACATGCATTCCGTACCCACCACTTTTTTCTTCCCGGGCTTGCAGGTGGAATATGTCCATTCGGGGATGGGACCTTCGCGAATCGACCAGCACAAGACACGTTCCGAGTGATGGGAAGTGGCTTACAGATCTCGGCCGTTTTGTCTCAGCTTTGTGGGGCCTGGCACGAGAGCCCAGGTTTTGTTTGGGTTTCACATGGGTTTCACCTGGCTTGCAGAAAGGGGTCCCATTTTGTCAGCGGCAGGGGGTGTCTGTACATGGCTGTTGAGTGTCCTTACCCCAATGTTCGACAGTTCGAGAGTGTTTCTTTCATGAACCAGGACAAGGTTGCCCTGAACTTTTGTGCTTTGGATTGCTGGTTTGGAGTTGGATTTTGAACCTACTTGGATCGCCAGTTGCGATCGCTTTTGTCCATCCACTTTACCCCAAAAACCAGCAACAGGGACTGAAAAAAAGCGACCGCCACTTGGCTATCTAGGTAGACCTCGGGTTTAATGGGGACCTCAGCACATCCGAGACGCGCCAAACCGCCAAACTGCCTAGGCCGACAGGCTGGGGGTTCGGTGCCGTGGGCGGTTTGGGGCGGTGTGGGGGGGTTTGGGGTCTCAACAACCCGAAATGCCGTGATTTGTAGAACCAATCTTGAGGCAAACCCCCTCTCTGGAGTCTCTTACGTCAGCTTCCATGAGTGATCAAGTCGTTTTGGGCTTCGCTTCGGAGCTTCCCCGAATCGATCTTGGTCTTAGAGGCTCAGCCGGCTTCTTCGCCTCAACTTCTGAGCTTCGGACACTGACCTCGGGGCTTTCTGTTGAAGCACACCTCCACAGTGACCTCCAGTCCTCGTCCAGATGCAACCCGAGAGGCGTTCGATCGGATATTCGCCAGCTCCAGAATTCATTCGGATGCAGAAACAACATGGGTATGGGTCAAGATTAAAGCACCAGGGGACCGCATGTTTTCACTTCCCAGGGTAATCCATTTTGGGCACCTCTTTTTGACCCACAGCCACTTCACTTCGCCACCTCGCCATTGATTCAAGCATCCGTTTCCGAAGGCTTCGGTTTCTCTGGTGCGAAATCGGCCGGGAGCGAGGTCATGGAATGACTCTCAACCGTCCAACTGGTGGGCTCCAGCAGGATTGTAAAGAAGACACCTGCCACCCACTGCCCCAAGAAAAAATTCGGACTCCGGCGCCGGCGCAGGCTCCGGCGCCGGAGTGCCATGTATAAGGCCGAAAGGTTGGCATGGGATTGATTGGGGGGTTCTAAGGAAAGTGGTCTTCCAGGAAGCGGTTCCTGTGGAGGTTCTATGTTTGTTTCTGGGAGGGTACGGGAAGGGCATCCACTTGCAGCTTTGCTGGGCTCCATGAAGCGAGATGCGCTGCGCCTGCGCCTTGACAGGCAGCCGGAAAAGACAGAGCGGAAGGAGTGGGGGGGGGGAGGGAGGGAGGAACTGGTGCCTTTGAACATAGAGTTTGAGGGCATAGGTGTCCTTTTTGGTTGTTTTGGTCGAAAAATGGATGGTGATTCCTGGTTTACCTGGTGGTTTGATCATCTACCAGGGAAACCCATCTATGTCCCCTACAAGGACACCTATGTTTGAGGGTGTGTCTATTGGAACATCAAGGAAGGAGTTCACAAGCCGAGAAGCCGAGCGGTTGATCGCGGAACTCTGATTGATAATCGTATGCTTTCTCAGTGTCAGCCATCGTACTCTGCAAGAATGGTGCCAACGGTCAAGCCAGTTCGCACCACCAAAAGGAAACCCTGGAATGATGATTCTCCTGTAAACGACCAGATCCACAGTGGTGAGGGTAGCTGGAGATTCCAAGACCCCCCCGAACCTCCCAAACCGCCCCGCGGGGCGGGGCGGGTCTGATCCGATGTCGGCGCCCGACCCGGCCGCGGGCTCCAAGGAAGCCTCGCTTCGCAGCCTTGACAGATCGGCACGGCTTTGACTTTTGGGGCAGTCGTCTTTAAACAGAAAAAACCGGGGGACCCTTTTTGGATTGTTTTGAAGGGAGACCAAAGGGAAGCAACCCCCCATTTTGTGACTGCCATAGTCTTGCCACAAGAAGAGAGATCAAGCCCAGGACCAAACTGCCCTTTGATTTGGAGTTGGTTGGAGTGGAGATGGACCCTTTGGGAATTGTGAGCCACGACCATGAGAAACATGACGGAGTTCGATCATGGCTCATATAGACTGGGGCCTGACTGGGGTCTGCTCCAAAACGAGCGATGTTTCAGGCAGATTAAATGTGAACACCGGCCTTTTTAAATCATGCGCAGTACACCCATTTTTCTTTGGTGCATTTTGCCAAGGGATGTTAGGACTTTATATAACTTTGTTGGCCAACTAATGGGTTTTTTCCGTATTAAACCCACTAAAAGTGAGTCACTTTTCGCCGGGAAAGCCATTTGCTTTCTTGAGTGATGTTTTACAAAACAAACATGGAGTAACAGAGTTTGCCCTAAAATTGACTCAACACAAAAAGCAGACTCCAAATTATGTCAGTGAAAGCTTTTCTGGACCATCCAACCGCTTTTCGCGGACAAGTCTCTCCAGGTCCTAGACTCTTGGCGGGGGGCTGAGAAGCCGTGGCATGGGGAGAATTGGGTGGGGGGGAAGAGTGAGGGGGGGTGGGGGGTGGGGTCGAAAACGCGACTCTTTGTTTGGGTGGCCGCGGGTGGCCCGTATGTTTTTTTGAGGATTCATGAGCTGTGCTTTGTTTGGTTTGTTGGCACTCTTTTTTGGTGGTCAAGGGAAACCAAACAAAGCATAGCTCATGAATCCTCAAAAAATACGGGCCACCCGGATCGCGGATGTGACAACTTGGAAGTGGACCCCCAACGATTTTTCGTATGTCGGACTTGAGCGGACAGTCCAAAGAAAGGGCCGTATTTGAAGCGTAGGTTCTGCAAAACCGGCTGAGAGGGAAAATTTATTAGGGAGTTTCAGAAACCTCTATATACCCCCGCCCCCCTTGTTTCAGGGGACCGGTTCCCTAAACACCCCCCAAAAAAACACATCACATGGGAAAGACTAAGCTAGAACATGTTTAGAGGTACAGTTCCATTAATCTTGGTATAAGAAGTTGATGGGTTTCAGGCCCCGCTCGCTTGCTCGGTGGATTCTCCTTTGTCCAAAGTGGGTTCGGGGTCCGCTGAAAATGGTCAACCATGTCAACCCCAAAAAGCTGGCTCTGACTAGGGCCTCAAATATTGGACTGGTGGGGGGGGGCGGGGGGAAATTGAAACCAAGCCAACCTTCCAGACATCGGCGCCAAGCCACGACTTTTCAGAGTTGGACCCCCCTCAAAGTGAAGAATTTTACTAAAATGAGTACATGTTGACCCCGGATTCATCAACCCGTCCTATGAGACGTGTTCCGCACCAAAGTGGTCTGAATCCCCACAACCTGACACCCGGTCAAATTTGAATCAACCAGGGCGTTAGCAGTCTGGGGTGAACATGAACGGGCAGTCGCCACTCAACAAATCAAGCCTGGAGTGAACGCCGCCTTGTTCATGGGTGTCCCATTTGAGGGGTTTCGGGGGGTCAACAAATTAATTCACTTCGAGGGGGGAAAGTCTGAGCGACTGTAGGCCTGAGAAGCAAAGTCCAGCGGTGCGTGAGGCGCCCGTGCGCATGTTGCGCCCGGTTTGGTTGGGTTTGGGTGGAGGGACCGGGGGGTGGTGGGGGGGGGGTTGGGGTTATCCTGTTGGTTTGAAGAAAGCTGGAAGGAGCACGGGGGTGGTAAGACGACAAGATTACTTTCTTTGTGTGGATAGGTAGTACGTCAATGTTTTACGTAGCATATCAACATGCGACTGTTGACCAGAGCTCCACACACCATGGGCGGAACACATTGTCCACACGCATGCAAAACAACAAGAACGATATGTCAGCAACTTGGTGGCGGTGCGCATTCCACAGATATGCGCCCGCTTCAGGATGCATGCATGCATCTGTTCTTCTCGAATTCATTTTGCGAGTGCAAAGTTCACTGGGAAAAAAATCGGCAACTCGAGGTTTCATGAGATGGGCCGTTCCGAACCGTCGCATCTCAGGGATTTTTGTTCTTCCTTTCCTTGACCGGCTGGAAGGCCCGCGACCCCGAGTTTAGGAACCACCGGGTGGTAAACGCCCTTGATTGTTGTAAACTCTTCGTGAGCAAAGCGGAGGTTTTGGGTAAGCCATCCATGACATCTGCTAGATACGGATGACATAGTTACTGGGGTCTCGTTGAAATGGATGTTCCTGCACTCCCCAAGGTTTTTTTGTTGTTGTTGTTTGTTGTTGTTTTCCTTTTTTGTTCTTTTCTTTGTTCTTCTTTTTTTTTTTGTCTCCGAACTTTGATAGGTTTTTTTTTTCTCGAACCTTCGTAGATATGGCTGTGAATTTTAAGAGGGAACCACCTCAAGAGTGGTTGGTGGACATGCATCCCCAACTGAATGACGTCCACCAAAGGGTGTAGGCCCATGCTGGGGTCACGCTTCCTAA